AAAAAACGTTTTCCCTGTTTTCGAACATGTGCGAAACTTCGTTTTTCGTTTGAAAAATCTATTCAAAATGAAAATTCTCCTCCGCTCACTATGCACAGAATTTGACGGCGCATCTTTTGGTTACAACTTCCAAAACTCGAAAAATCTTTCCACATTTTCTAAAAATCCTCAATGGGACAAAAACCCTAAGATCTAATTGAAACATCGGCACCTGTCAGCCCATGCAGTTAGATATCTACCTTAAAATAAAACAAATCCGAACTCTCTAGCTTGAAAAAATCAAGCTAGAGAGTCGGAAAAAAGTCGGAATTCTGTTCGTAATTCGCAATTTTCTCAAGCAGAACCCAACTTCTATGTATTAAAAATATCATATTCGGAATCAGGATGAAAAACTGCCCCGACTGTGTGTGTTTCGAAATTTTAAGTTCATTTTTGGTGAAAATCTCGATTCGAGAAAATTTAAAGTACTTGTATAGGGCAGAGATACATATCAGTCGACTCAGTTTTTGATCCTGATTCCGAATATGATATTTCTGTTACATAGAAGTTGAGTTTTGATCGAGAGAATTGAGACTTACGAGCAGAATTCAAGCTTTTTCGCCTCAGATTTAGAAAAAATGAATTTTCTCAGCAAGGAAAAGGAATTTCAAAAAAGCGATTTATACTTTTATTGTACATTTCAAGGCAAATTGAATGGCATATGAAAGCTGACTTCATCTCTTAACAAAAAAAAGTAGATAGGTTTGCAAAGTGAGTATGATGAAATTGAAGATCTCTAGGCTTCGTTTGTCGGTCGAAGACTTCTTTTCGTTCTGGAACCTTGAGATATTGTTTCCTATATGCAGTTTTTAATGTTGAATAAGAAAAACATAGTTTCACGGCTTCGAAATGAGGTGGAACCAAGTTATTCAGTTTTTTAAAAAGTTAGTGGTTTTTCAAAATAAGAGATCCTTCAAGCTTTTTGAAGTTTTTTCACTCATAATGAGCATTGGGAAGACTAAGAACCAGATATTCTTGATCAGCGTGCAATTCTCTAACGAATGATGTATGCTTAAGCCAAAAATAAAGTAGTGCTGTAACTTCGAATTCGGAGCGCCTTACGTTGTAGTGAAAAAACATACCATGTTTTTTTCTAATGTATTTTTTGTTCTCTGAACGTTAGTTGTTACTTATGATTAATATGTCATGCGATGCAGTGAAGTCTGTACTTTCTCACTATGTACCGATTATCGAAAAAAAAATAAACTGCAATAGTCTAAAGTAAAAAAACAAAGAGAAGAAATTGAATTGGCGCACACTGTAAACGCCGAAAGATGATATTTGTGTTTAAGTTTTGATACCAGTCCTGTCAAAAGAACACTTATCGCATCCATGAAGATTTTCAAGAAAAACCAACGCTATATTCGTAGTCAGCATCAAATTCTAAATCGATGATGTATATTTCACAGAAACCTGAGAAAAAAGTTTTCAGATATTTCAGAACTTTTTCGACAAAAAATGAAAGCCGACGTTTTAAAAAACTAAACATGCTATCTACTCAGAATTCGATGCTGATTCTGAGTAAATGATATTTTAACCAAAACAGCGCGGCCAAAAAAATAGCGTTACCGCCGCTTGTTCTTTCCTCATGTTCTATGTTTACACGGCGCGTCTGAACCTTTTGGAGAATCTGATGCGATTTCTCACCAGAACATGCTGTACAAGTCGATCCATTTATTTTGAAACGATTTGCATGCAGTTTTTCTTTACAAATCGTTTCAGAAAAAAAGTTCCTTACTATACCAAACGATAGACAACTTAATTCTGTACAAGATTATATATTCATCTTTAAGACTCATCTTTGATGTTTGGCACAGTAAGTCTAACAGGAAAAGCTTCCAACTTCTCAAGTTTACTTTCAAGAAATCGATTTTTTGCGCAGAATCTCGCTAAAAATCATTTGTGCAACAAAACAAGGTATACCGGAAAATTCAGCAAGAGATTTTTTACAATATGATGTCTTTTTAATGACAAATAATGAGTTTTTAGATGAACTCAGAGCGAAAAAGAGTCTAGAATCCGAAAATATTAGTCAAGATCGCCAGTGTGAAAGAGAGTGGTTGTTAATAGAAAACAAGAGACAAACGCAAAATCGAAAAGACGCTAAAGTCTTCCTTAATGATGACATTCGGCAGGCTGTCTTGAGTGGTCTTGAGAAAACAAAAACTACATTTCTATAGAGATTAGACCATGCTGAATATGACGCTCATATTGTGTTTGAATTTGATTTCATTGATAAAAATGCATTTCAATACGACTGATTTTCATGTTTTCACCATTATTACGGAATTATTATTAATAATTATTGTGCACTAGGAAGAGAAATAGCGCTAAAATGAATAAATAAGCCTTTTGTTTTTTCTATATTTAATAAAAATGATTGCAAATCTGATTTTTCTCAAACGTTTTTATCTAACTATTATGGCAGTGAGGAGAAATAACGAGAAGAAAAATGCATGTTATGTATTCCTTTTATCTACGTTAACGTCGTAGTGTGAAAGCAAGAGTAACGCTGGGCGTCAGAAGTGCAACGCAATCGGTTTTTTACTTTGTCCTTGGTAACCTTCAGTGCACCCAACCTTAATTAGAAAGTAGGTATAGTGTTACAGTGTTTGCGGATTAGTATTCGTATTAGTGAAGCGAATATACTCTAAGGTGTTGACGGATAGCTCATAAGAGGAAAAGATTTTCGAGTTAGTCAGCCGCTACCTATTTCACAAAGTTTATATCGAAGTCAACTTCTTTTAGTCAAGGGATCGAGCGAATCGAAGATGAACGTTACTTGTTTATAAGAGTCTTACAAAAAAAGTGACCGTTTCGTGTGCCTTACTTATATATATATAAGACTTTTGCAGTAATTCTGATAAGAGATTTATCTAGCTTTACGAAGAAACATAAAAGAATTTGATACAGTAATTGTCAAAATCCTATTTAAAAATTAAAAAAATAGGGTATATTATTACGTTTAATCCACTAATCTATATTGGACCCAATGTGTACATGTCATTGAACCAACCATCATCATACCATCCACCGAATACAAACATATTGCCGTTATAGAGAACAGCACTGTGACCTTCTCTGGGTGCTGGAACGTTTTTCAAATCAATTTGCGACCATTCATAGGTTTCTAAGCTAAATACAAATAATTTATTACTTCTTTGAATTCCAACATATCCTCCAAACATATATAGATTGCTTCCGGAGAGTACACATGTATGACGACCACGTTTATCTGGCAAAACTCTTTGTTTACTTGGTGGTTTAATTTCTGTCCATTCTAAAGTTTTAAAATCAAAACAGTGACAATCATTAAACTTTCCACATCCTAATCCACAAACAATATACATTTTATCTTCAAATATATGTGCACCACCGTATGAACTACGTTTTGGAGGCGGATTTTTTTGAGATACAACAGACCATTGATTATTTTTAAAATTGAATTTATACATATCATTGTATTTGTTGTGTCCGATTCCACCGAATAAGTACATAAAATTATTGTAAATTACAACGGAATGAGCACTTCTGGCTGTTGGAGGATTTGAACATTGAACAGTTTCCCATTCATTTGTTTGAAAATTATATCGATACATATCGTTTAATTTTCCAGATGAATCCCACCCGCCAAAAATATACATAAAATTTTGATAAACGACAGCACTATGTTTGCAACGTTTAGATGGAACTGTTAGCTCATTGGTTGGTTTTAATTCGGTCCACGTTAGTGAGACAAAGTCAAATTTGAATAATTCATTAGAACGATATTCACCGAGACCACCAAAAATATGCATAGCATCATTGTAAATAACACAACTATGGCCACTTCGACTGTTGGGCACAGTGGAAGACGCCGGTTGAAGTCGAGTCCAGACAAGAGATGACATTTTTTACTTAAAGTAATATTTTCTCTCTTTCTCTCTCTCTCTCTCTCTGTATATATATGTATATCTGTATATATATATATATATATATATTTATACAGCTATTGTGAAATTACAGCAATCATCATCATCCATAAAATGATTCATAACCGCTTTCTTTATGTTTTATAACAATACAAAAACAAAATTCTTTTTTTCATAACCATCGAAACATATATGATATGACTCATGTTAGTGCTTTTTATCAGAAAATTTTATATTTGCACCAATTGCTAACATTTTACACACACATTTATTGAAATGACGCAGATATATGTGTTGGCATTGGCTTGAGTTGCTACTATAGTAGCAACTCAAGGCAATACCAACGTTCAACTACATCAATAGCAAAAAAGAAAAAGTATAAAATAAAAGACTTTTTTAAAGTAGGATAAATGACAGATGCGTGAAACAAGGCTAGAAAACGTATGCACTTGTCTCCACTTTGGCAGAAGGAGATCAACTGATCATATTTTATGTACTCTAGTTATTTTTTGTGCATATATAAATTAAAAATCTTTGGTAATCTGCACGATTTTAATATTCCGGTACGAACATTAAAGTAAACAAAAAGGTACAAACAGCTATGAACTATGAGAACTGTATATGAAGAAAAATGTGTGACCAGCGTAGTATTCGAACTCAAGACCTTGATATTAACGATCATTCCCTATGTAAAATCTAGTTGATGAGTCACTGCTATCTGTGTTTGTACACTAAGCCAAATTCTCCGTAAACTAGCTCCGCAGCATGACTGGAATGATTTGCGAGTAGTTTCTAGACTAACTTTTGGTCTATGTAAGATACGTGTTCAAAAAGTCTTAACGACAAGAGAGCTTTAAAAGCAAATGAACATTTTTTCTCAACTAGTCTCACGTCCAGAAGGTTAACGTTATTTTATTTTTCTATTTCTATTCTTTTTTCCTTTCTATATATTTTTTTCATGTACTGTCTGTCCAAAATTAATATAAGAGAGATGTGGTCATTTTCTGAATAACTTTTTGATAAAAAGCAACTGGAGAGCTCCGACTTTCACCATTCGAAAGAGGAGGCGTGATTCTATCACCTGATATTAAAAAATTTACAATTTACTCACAAAACATCAGGACGAGTCCAAAACATCATGATATACTGTGTTTAGGCTATTTTACATTCTGTTTATAACAAATCTACAACAAAACATTTATAAAACGCTGTGGTTTTCCAGAAGGGGGTTCTAGAAAATCTTGACACAAAAACATCATTTTTCAATTGTTTCAATTTTATGCTCACGTCTAGCGGATACAATTAACCATATCCTGAAGTTTTTAACTCATTCTGATATTTTGTGAGTAAACTGTAAATTTTTTAATATTAGGTGACAACAGGCGGAGAACCCTAATTTGCGTAAAATTTGATTTTCGCTAGGTTTTAAAATCATTTTCTGAAAACAAATATTATTACGAGACTCAGCACGATCGATTACCTATAAGCCACTCATTTCTGAAGTTATCAGTAGTTAATAGGTACCAGTCCTAGGTCTCCAAGAGAAGTCTGTACTATATCGGAACCACTGGAAATCAAGATCTCGCTTGGCTTCCGTTTTGAAGAGGACATTCTGAGTTATCAAACCGTGGTAAAAAAAGCAATATAATCTCACCGAAAGTTTTTGAGACACAGTCGAGTTTTCCAGAGATTCTCTAGACAACTGATTTTAAGAAATCATTCTGAAAAAGTTTCTGCTGATAAAAACATGCCATCAAGTCACCTCTTTCGAATGGTGAAGGTCGGAGTTCTTCAGCTACTTTCTGTCAAATGTTCTTCAAAAAATCGCCACACTTCTCTTATTTTTCGACAGACAGTAGTTCTATGTACTTCTATGTCTCTGATCTATACATACGTAAAGAACCATATTTTCGTTTTTAAGGTTTACTGCACACATTTACGTCCTGTTTTCCTTGAAAAATGGACGGCGTGTCGTTCGAAAAGTAGAAAAACTGGATTTTATATGGTTTGCAGAATTAAGAAATGGAACTGAAAGTAGCTGCGGTGGTCAGTTTGTACATCAAATTTTTCCTATATCTTAGCTAGTCTAGTATACGTAGCGTTTAATATGTCAAAAAATAACTGAACATAAATCAGATGACATTAAATCAGATAATCTTAATAATGGAATTCAAATCTATAAAAAAGCCAATATGGTGGGACTGTTGTCTGTAAACTGAATAATAAAAGAAAGAAAATTAAGAAAGTAGGATAAGTAGTAGAATGTTTACGAAGCCTGCTACATCGATGATCATATAGTAGACTGGCAATTGTTTTATTGATAATTATTTTATTGTAGAGATGGGAGGAATATTTTACAAATTATAAGACGTGAGTATATCGATAGAATAAATTCCTATCAAGCACAAAAGAACTGTACTCGAAAAAGTGAAAAAAGTTACAAGTCAAGTCGTATACTTAAAGTTTTTTTTCTAATTGAACGAGTTTTCCATGTTGAGCTTATTTAAAAAACGTTCATCATCAGTCTGTTTATTTTAAACTGAGTCAAAATATCCGATGAACATTGATTATCATTGATTAGATTTATGTTCTTTAGAAAACAAGTAGTTGCAAGTAAAATCTTTGCTCGGACGGAAATAAAATATTTTCTTCTTATATCAATATACAAACAGAATATCGCATAAAATGTACGTAATAATGAAAAGTCCATGTACTTTGATATATAAAAAAAATGAAAACTCTTGTTGATTCATTAACGCAGCATTTACGAACAAAGACGAATATGTGTTTCCTATATGGTTATCTAGCCATGATAACCGTCGCCATCGAGTGATTTACTTCGTACATACGAGAATGAACTATGATTCTCATTCATAATAAGTGACTATATGACAAAAAAAAGAAAATGTGTTAACAAGACGTGCTATTTATTGAGTAGCTACTACTCCCATACCAGTTTTTCATCTTTGCCAGGCGGATTTCGTAAGAAAAACATTAATGGAGCATAGAGTAAGCAAATAAAAGAAATGGTATATAACATCCACGAAAAGCCAATTGTTCGAACGACAAAGCCACTCAAAGCAGGACCTATAAGAAATCAATTTCGCGAAAACAATTTTCAAATCTCTATCCAATACAATCCTATACCTATAGCAAAGCCTAGACAAAATGCCACATCAGCAATAGCATAAACACTTCCATACACGGATGAATGACGAATATCGACGAGATAACCCATTTGTGGCATCATAGAGCTATCAACCATTCCAATAGCAAAGCCTAAACCAGCATTTGGTAGAACTAAACCGCCTATTGACGATGCTTGTGGAACCTTTTACAAAAAATAAAATTCAAAACGAAGAACTAAAAATTTAAACTTGAGGTAGTTTAACAAAAACTTACGCATATCAAAGAGAAGGCAATGATAATTAAACCAAGCATACAGCATAACCATCTAGGAACATATATAACGTACAGAATGTTTTACTGTAGATGTCTGCGCTCACATATATGTTTGTTTTTATACCTTCCAATTTTGTGTGCTATCGGACCAAAAATATTTGTTCCAATCAAATACGAAATACTAGCCGGTAGAAATGCAGCTCCCTGTTGCCATTCGTGCGAATTCATTTTTACCATCATCCAAATGGGTAACGATGGCTCCATCATTGCTATTCCCATATTGCCAAATGTAATGGCACCTTACAAATCATCTAATTGTGGTATCTTTATTTAAAAAGTAGCATAAATAAGTATCTACCTGCAGCAATAAGAATATACGGATCTTTTAGAAGCGTTTTAAACGATGCACCTTCGACAACTTCTGTTGACACACCAGGCTTCAAAACAGTTAATTGTAGTACTGAATAAATAAAAATGGTGCTACCCTAGAGATTCAATCTTACATACAATTTCTATACTATTCCTACCCAAGCAGAAAAAAATCGTGAAGGGGGCCGCTTGCAGCTACCTGACTAAATTTTAACCCGTCAAAGCTAGCTTAAGTGAGTTGAACTTTGAACTTGAACTTTTATTTCTTTTGCCAACAAAAAACAAACAAAGCATTGTTGAACAAGAAAGCAGCTGATGCGTTTAAATTCGGCGCTAATCGCTTGATTAAGCGCCCACTGGATCGTCCGCTTGGAGCCAGCAAGTGGATACTTGCCCGATGCAGCTAGCTATTTAACCCAAAAAATGTACGATTAAGCGGGAGCTTGAGTAATTTGATAAGCTAAATTTCCTTGCTTACCCTTTTCTGCCTGAGTATATTTAAGTCATAAGAATCTTATAAGAATGCATAAGGCAGCCGATGAAAATGCGTAAGATATTGATAAGAATCTTATGTAAGAAAACGATAAGAGAACCATAAGCATCGTGTGGAAAAACTATATGGTAATCTTGAAGGGAAAAATAGGAAAAAAGTTCTTGTTTTTACTACAATGGCAGTAAAAACTTACTTTAAATTTTGAACTTTTTATGAGAATCTCAAACGATATAAAGTGTAGAAACCTTACAACAATCTTATAATAATCTTATATGACGATAAGATTTTCATACTTCGTCATATAAGAATCTTATAAATATTCTACGCATTTCCATCGACTGCCTTATATAAGATTCTTATAAGATACTTTAAATAGGAAACTTATAAATAGATCTGTGATAGGTTCTTCACGTTCATAGAAACGAGGAACAGCTCACCATTTCTGATTCCTTCAAACAGGAATTGTATTTATTTTTGAAACTGTTAAAGCTCTTCTTAGTTCTCTATTAGTTTGCTTGGTTTTTCAAAATATTTACTTTAAGATACATAATAAATTAACAGAGCACGGAACTGGGAACCAGTTCCGGTTCAATAAGCGAGAACTGAAAAGTAATATCTGTCAACGAGGTATAATTGCAGTTCAACGAACGATGAACGATCATAGGCCAACTCATATATAATACAATCCTTCCTCTGTAAGGATTAAGATCGTAAAAGTAGATACCTACATCCGTCAAAAAATCCAAGTGAGGCTAATATAAGAAATGGCGTTGCTTTTCCAACAAATTCATACATAACACCGCCGAACGGTGGACCAACTAAAACACAATTTTGAGTTTCATCTACGTCGTTTATGGTATAGAGTAACATACTTAGAACTCCAAGTGCCAGACCACCTAGGGCAATTCCCATTGCTTTGCCTCGCTCTTCATCATCAGTATATCTATCAGCCAACATACCAAGACCTATCGGTTGTAATTATTATTTTCTAGACTATTATCAACTTATAAAAGCCATAGTCATTGATATTTTTTGGATATCTCTGAATAGGACTAATGCTAAAGGGTAGGAAGAACTAGAAAGTTGTTGATTTCGCCACTTTTAGCCCAGACTTTCGTACATCTTTCTATGGGCAGTTAAGGTTTCAAATCTCTTGTAAAGATGACGTCGTTCCATTGTAAAATTAGCCTTCAAAATAAAAAGTAATTATAGCTATTTAAGCCGACCCAGTGAAACCGTTCTGTTTCATTACAAAAAATTCGTCTTCTCCTACTTCTTCTAGACCCACTTTTTCCTTTCAGTCAGCCACTCGTTCTCAGTTTTTCTAAATGATATAGATTTGGAACAAAGATTAGTGGCAAAAGGAAGAGTTGTTGATGATATATCTAAGGTTATTTCACTCATATTGTTGTAATTACCTTATAATTAGTTCCAAAAGTTAATACATTTTTCAAAAACTGTATAGAGATACTTAATTGTGACGCGGCCACTAATTATTCTTTATACACTAGACAGAGACAACGAAAGACTAGATGTCTACTACCCTGTGGGCAGATTGGAAAGCCGATCGAGTGAAACGTTCCTTAGAAACACTCTTGACACCATTTGAATTCCCCAGACAGCCTTGAATCCATTAGAAATCTTTTTCCATTCTCCAGAGGGCCTTCCTGTACGTATCAGTTGATGACTAATTATATGTTCGTTTGTCCTCTACCGCTGAGCCTTCAACAGGTCACTATGGTTAAATAAAAATTAAAAAACCTCAGATTGTGTTTCATTTTGTATCTCTGTAATAATCAGAAATATCAAAAAAGTATGTCAGACTTAGGCGCTAATTATAAAAGAATTAAAATATATATCGGCGAAGTCACTTCAGATGCTCCACTTAAGTTACAATTGTTCCTCTTTCTACTCATTTTTGCCCTGAACATCTAGGACAAGAGATAGCCAAGAACGGGTCCTGATTAAAAGCAAAAAACCGTATCTGGAAGAAAGAAGAAAGGGGAAAATGAATTTTTTATGGTGAAAAACAATAAGCTTTTGGTCATGGTTGATAAAGCATCTCGGTTACGAAAAATAAATCTTTTTATACCAAAAGTATCACGGAAAAAAGTATTTAGCTCATCTATATAATCAGAAAACATGGCTTAGGTGTTGGAAATTGTCGTGGATAGAGTGAAAATAAGCGTATTTCTTCAGATCATATCGGCATGTACATGACACTGGCGGTATAAAACGAGAAAAATTTATCAATCATGCTGATTGGAAGCACTCTACAAAATTATCATATAAATTCCATGTTATCACTTGAAACAATTGATACTATATATTAATCTGAGCGCTTTTTCCTGGCTCAAGAAAGTCAAATGGAGCTATTTGTAATACTTGTGACTTATCAGCCGTCTGTATCCATTTATAGGCTTTCTTATCCAAATCACCATCGTAATTGATACTTGTTACAAACGGTTTTAGTCGATCATCGACATGATCTGATGAAACACGCTTGTGTTCGTGCTGTTGGACTCATAATGATATGGGGAGTTCGATGTATTCCACAAGTAATTGGCACACGTCGTACAAAAGGGCGTACAAAAAACCCAAGCAAACTTTATCGTAAGATGAGTAGCCCAACTTTCAGTCTTTCTCTGTCTATTATTATTCTTTTTTGTTAAATACATGAAACGAACGTTTACTGGAAACCTAGTCTAAACTAGATGGAGAATAACGATAGCTTATGCACTCAGACGTATTGCGAGATCAACAAGAATGTTTATCTTACTATAAATTTAATTAGAATCTTTTCCATGATCTAATCAATGATTTCACCATAAAAAAATTTAGCTTTCGTAACCGAGACTTTTTATGTGATTTTTCTTAAAAATTTGTCAATCAGGATCGAAATAATGCTATTTCCGTGATCTTTTAAATTCACATCCAATAAAAATTGCTATTCTTTAGTGCTTTGTTATAATTTTCAGGCCTTCGATACTAAAATAATTGCCAAGAGCAAAACCTAAAGTGTTTCTAAGGAACGTTTCACTCGGTCGGCTTTTCAATCTGTCTGCAGTGTAGCTGGTATCTAGTTATGTGTTCCTTTCGTTTTGCAATATGATCTTCTAAAGATTGAGAAAGAAAGATATGAAGCCAAAGTGTAGGCTAGAAAATGACGAAAATTGCATCTCCGAGATTCATAAAATATCTCTGACTATTGCTTTTATAAACAGATCGTGTGGGTTAATCAATTATTTTCTGTTTTACCTGAGACACTTGAACATGCTGAACCCACTCCCTGGACTGCACGAGCAATAAACAATACTGAATAACTCCTTCCAAATGCGAATGCTAAAGAACAAAAAGATATAATTTAGATTTACTGGTTCAAAACCACGTATTTCATTACTTATTGTTGATAAGAACATGATAACGAAACCGGAAAACATTGGTATACTATAGCCGATCCTAAAATAAGGATCAAAAGTTAACGATACACTAAATGAAGAGAAAATAATTTACCTGTTCGTTAATGGACCAATGAATGGATTTGTTAGTAATTGCACAAATGCTTTTGAAGCAAACATAATACCGACGCGTCCATTCTCCTAAAATACTCCTTATTTTAGTCTAAACATTTTCATGTACATCACATATCTATACCTTAATTAAACTTAATTTTTTTTGACCATTTTCAATTCGAGTTATATTCATTGCCCAACTATCAATAGATGTACAATTTGAATCAGTCAAATATTGATGTAATGCAGTAGGATTTCGTTGAAAATATTCACGACGTCGGACAAGTGCAAAATTTGAACAATTTTTTGATAAAAATTGAAAGGTAGGATCATTTTTATGCTCAATTTGATAAAGATAATCGGGAATGATTGGAACTATTGAATAATAAAAAAATGCATAATAATATCAGTGTTAACACGTTCACTGTCTACAAGAAAACCTAAAATATCACCCATACGTCCTGAACCACATATGATACATATTTCAAACCTTTCCTCGCACGCTCCTATTTTTGTTTTGTTTTTGAGTATATCCACAACAAAAAGTCATATTTAGTCTAACCTTGCAAATGAATCATATATGATACATGGACAGTGAACGTGTTAATTTAGAAAAAATTAGATATTACCAACGGTAGTCAATAGCATATTGTCTAAGAAAAGAGCAACAAATACAATAAATAATATTAGAGCACGAGACGATCGCCATTTTTGCCAAAAGCGCCAGAAGTACCAATATAAATCCATATCGTAGTTAATAACACAAACGTTCCCTTTATAATAATAATAGTCTGAACATTATATCTGTATATACGAAAATTTGAAGTAAATTCTGAAAAATACAAATACAAATTATTTTTATGCCATTTTCAACTATTCACCGCTTGGTTAGTGAACAAAAACAAGAGAAATCTCTTTCTTGATCTCATTTACTTCATCTGCTGTATTACATAACTCTTTAGGATTAAAGAATAATAAGTTAAATATTGAGCACAATTGAAAATTAAGATACTACTAGTTAGTTTAAAAGTTTTAACATTCCATGTATTATGATATTGTAAGTTTTGTGTTCATAATAGTGTATATTTGAACACAATCCGTTTTTAGGATTTATCTGATATGACAAAATAAAAGAAAGTATCGTGAACATCTTTTATAAGTAATAATATGTAGTACTAGAGCAGAAATTAATGTGAAAAACACAAAATTACTTAGATTATTGAGTAAAAATTTTAGGTTTTTATGCATTCTTTAGAAATTTTGATTGATATTGAAAGATAGCACTTATTGTATTTCTGTTGCAAAAAGGGAAAGAATGTCTAGAAACATTGAATTTACACTGTTAAATAAAGATAAGATTTAACTTAGAAGAAAATATTTCGATCTTAGATATTTGGGATGCAATCGATTACAGTAACAGATGTTGAATGTTGATCATTTCTTTGTTAACCTTATTTTAATTACATTTTTTCTCATAATAAAAGAAAATGTTTTTTTTTATAAATACTTAATATTATTTGTCAATCATAAATTCGAACCGATGCAGTTCGATACTTACTATAACAATGACTCGAGAATCAGGACAAGAAAAAAGAGAAATCTGAATTAAACAATCATTATTATCGTTTCTTCAAAAAAAAAATGGGCATCGAAATTAACAACAATAAAACATGACGAAGATGTTTTAACATTCGGTCAATAAGAATAGGAGATGCTGATTATTGATCTATAATGATTTATGACCGTTTCTCTCTCTCTCTTTCTAAAGTGGTATTTGCAATATCGACAAATGGTTTCCGTGATGGAAGGCTACAAAAACTAAAAGCAGTATTTCTCTGTTAATGTCAATAGTTTTTATTTTTTTTGTCTCTGGTTTTTGTTCTCATTTTTGTTGGGAAAAAGAAGATAAAATTCTGTGATTTTGACAAACTAAAAAATTATGTATGTTTTCCCATTTTTTTCTTCTTATTCTCTGTATGTAGCATGTCAAAATTAAAATATGATGATGATGATGATGATGATGATGATGAAAAAATCTTGACTTTGATTTTAAAAAAAAACAACAAAAAAAGAAAAGCTTAGTGAGTTTTATTTGTTCTGATAATATATATATATATAGAGAGAGAGAGAGAGAGAATCGTTACTGGTTGATAGGATTTGATGAATTTTTATGTCTTTGTTCTTCTTCTAAGAGCGCTGTTAGGGCGACAAGAATAATTGTAACATTTTAATTATGAAATATTACGCAAGGTGACGGTACCACTAATAAACAACAATAATTTCCAACTGTATCAAGCAATAACTGAGGAAGGCTTTTTTTAGTATCAGTTTTCTCAGAAAACTCTCTGTGTTAGAATTGAGTAGTGTAATGAGATTTAATTCGAACAATCAGAAAAAAACCTTAAAATACTTTTAAAGATATCAAAATAAATTTTATTTGTCAAGATGATATAACAGCAGTTCAATTCCTACCAGGGAATATTCCCAAGTGAGGCACTCCGATTTTGTTCAAACCTGACAATTTATATGTAGTGAAGGGCGCTGATTACGAATATGATAGCCGTTTGTGCTCACACACCTTTCCTAGCGTTGCTCTGGAGAACTCGTTTTCTAGAAATCTCCTGAAATCCTAGCAATGTTTTATCAACATATTGGAATTGTAGCCTGAAAATTTTACATCAAAATGAGACGCTTCCCAGCTCTTCACG